TTTTTGGCCCCTCTGATCATCTCACCGTGATTTTTTTCCTGCGGCGCGGGTGGCCTTCGCGGTTCATCCCCCGCTTTGGGGGCTTTTCCCACCCTTCCTGGAGCCTCATCTCTCCGTTTTCCTCCCGTTTCAGGTTTCCCAGGAGGACACCCGAGCTCAATTCCTCATCCCCGGGGGTTCCTTGGGCCGCAACCGAGCCGAAGCCTCGCTGGAGCGGGCGCAGAACCTCAACCCCATGGTGGACGTCAAAGCCGACGCCGAGAGCGTGGAGAGCAAACCCGAGGAGTTCTTCACCCAGTTCGACGCCGTACGTGCCACGAGGGGGGCGGGGGGAAAAAAGATCGGAGGGAAGGATTTAATTACCAAATATCTGTGATTTGCTTCGTTTCCCCGATCCCCTCTGAAATTATCCAGCAACAGGACACTGCATCCCCCTAACCTAATTATTCCCGGGGCGAAGACTCGCTGGAATTAGCCAGGGAAGCGGGGAGGGGGGGAATGGATAACGCCGTGACTAAACCACCAAATTTACCCAGAACCTTCCCCAGGGAGGATTCCAGAGGGAAAAATTGGGGTTCAACGTGGCGATTTCTACCTGCAGGTCTGCCTGACCTGCTGCTCCCGGGATGTCATGGTGCGAATCGATCAAATTTGCCACCAAAACGGCGTCAAGTTCTTCACCGGCGACGTTTTTGGCTACCACGGTTACATGTTTGCCGACCTCGGGGAGCACGAATTCGTGGAGTGAGTTGAGGGGAAAACGGGTGGTGAGAGGAGGGCTGTGGTGATCCCTGGTTCTCCCAGCCGGCTCCAAACCCCAAAATCATAATTTTTCTTTATTTCTGTTTTTTTTTTTAATCCTCTGTAGAGAGAAAACCAAAATCACCAAAGTCAACCCCGGTGTGGAAGACGGGCCGGACGCCAAAAAAGCCAAACTCGACCCGGCGGAGACCACCATGGTGAAAAAGGTGAGGGGAAAACCCCCCCCTCCTGCTTTGCCAAAACTCCCCTCGCTGCTGCTGCTGGTTTTTTTCCTCTTTTCCTCTGGTCTAAAGCACTTTTATACTGGTTTTACTGGGCAAGGGGGGCAGCTTTGTGTGTCAGCCAGGCCATAAAAGCTCCATTGTTGGTGCTGTCAGCTGAGCGGGAGAGGGCTTGGAAGGGGGGGGGGCCGGGAATCTCAGAGAGGGCTTGAGGAGGGGGGGGTTGGAAAAATCCCTCTTTTCACATGGAAATTCCTCCGGCCGGGGGCATTGTTTTGGGCTCCCAGCTGGAAATTTCAAGGAGGAGGAGTGGAAATCCCCCTGCTTTTCCCTGCTGGGGAGAAGCGGAGCTGAGGCAGCAGCTCAACACCCTTTTTCCCTGCCCC